CAACAGGTCGGTTGCACCGTCGCGCGAGCTAAGGGGTACCGTCACGTCGCCGTACCCTACGATAGGGAAGGTTTCTCCGGCGGCGACGCGCACACGCCGATCACACTCTTCGTGGCGAAGGGACCCATCTGAGTTCGCGAACATGTGGGTGATAGCGCCGGTATCCGCAACATACCTACCCCCCTAGCCTGCTCTACACCCCCTCGACCAACGACTTTGTGACACTCGCCTGAGATGTCACCGACCACCAGCACTTCTTCTGCCACGTCCAGTGCTGTGGCGTCCGCAGACGCCCCCCCCACCGGCACTTCCAACACGAGCACCGCCTTCTCGGTCGGGCACTTGCTCTTGTCGTGCTCGTAGCCCTTGCATGTCTCACATCGCACGGGCTTGCTCTCGGTCGAGCCCTGCGATTCCGGATCGTAGATTTTGTCGAGTTCCGTGAGGATCGCTTTTACGGTTTCGCATTTGTTCACGATCGCCTTGTCGGCTTCTCTGACGATGGCAGTGGTCACAAATTGGAACGCTTGGAGGCCCCTCTGGACCTCGTCGCTGGTGTATTGGAGGCGGTACAGCTCCGAGCTTGGCACGTTTGGGTTGCCGACAGGTGCATGTCTCTCGTTGTTGCCGACCAATTGGCCGTCCAGTCCTACAGTCTTGGCCGCGTGGATAAGCGATTTTCTCCACGAGTCATACCCATGGCCGCGACTCTCCCCTTCGAGACGCGGGGCATTGACTGTTACTCTCTTCATGTGGCTACTGCTGCAGCCGTTGAGGAATTCTCCATTTCCTCGAATCACGGGTATCTCACCTGTGGGGGTTTTAACCCCCTCGCTTCCCCCTTGTCCGGTCCTATTCCCGAGCCCACTCCGGCTGGTCCAACAGGGTTCGCTCCCGATCTGCTGGCCCATCCGCCTTCCAGCAGCTGCCGTGGTCCTTGCCCACTATCTCTCGTTTGCTGCTGGAGAAATCCACCGCCTCCGCCGAGCGGCAGCGTTCGCTCTTGGCTTTCGGGGGCAGCAACCCAGCAGCCCCTACTGGCTGCATCCGCCACGACGCTGCCAGGCTCCTTCTTCTTCACCGACTCCTCCACCAGGGCCGCCAATTGCGAAATCTGCAGTTGCAAACTTGCAAGCTTCGCATCGCGGCCCTCCTGCACCGGCGGGCGGATCTGTTCTCCGCTCGCAGCAGTGCGCTCTTCGTCTCCAGCAGAGCTCATCCCAATGTGGCTTCCCTCGCGGGGCAAAAACAACTCTAGAGTGTTTTGCGGCCTACGCCACATTTTTTTCGGGTGAGACTGTTTTGGTGATGTATTAGCTTCACGAGAGGTCGACGACCGTCCTTCACACGGACGAAAGAGGCAGTGCTCAAAGAGTGGCTCCCACAGCAATGAGGGGCCCCGTGAATCGTCGCGGTGCCCCCTACCAAACGGCAATCTTACCAGTCTGCGTGACCCCAAATCATCCAGCACATGTATTCAACAACAATGTTCGCAGACCCACGAACATGCGTAGTGGTGGAGTTGGGTCGGCACTGGTGCGTCAGGTACAAAGGTGCAGATGCGCGGGCCTCCAGGCCGTCGGTGTAGGCATCAATGCCCATCTCATCCTTGTGCGCGGAGGCAGACGCCATCAGAAAGGTGGACGGGCACCATGTACACGGCCCTAGGTTTGCTAGAGGGAGCTGTACTGTCTCAGTAACCTGGTTTTGCCATCAAAGGAGGAGGGGACAGTTGGTGACGAGCAGATTGGGCTGGTTGACCCTTCGACGCGAGAATTTTCAGACCAAAAACCCTAAGTGCAACGAGGGAGAAAGCGAGGAACCGACTGGGACGGACAGCAACGACAGCGTGTACGAAGCTGAGCGGGTCGATTTTGGTCGTGCTAGGACTGGCCACAGCGACACTGGAGCAGCGGCACCGGAGCAGCTGAACCGGAGCATGCGGACGGCATCGAACCGTGGCGCACGGACAAACATCTGTTGTGTTGTCAATTATTTTCGTTTTTTTTTCCTGCATTGAAGGTGTTGGGTGTGTGTCATGACGTCGTCAANAAGTGCAACGAGGGAGAAAGCGAGGAACCGACTGGGACGGACAGCAACGACAGCGTGTACGAAGCTGAGCGGGTCGATTTTGGTCGTGCTAGGACTGGCCACAGCGACACTGGAGCAGCGGCACCGGAGCAGCTGAACCGGAGCATGCGGACGGCATCGAACCGTGGCGCACGGACAAACATCTGTTGTGTTGTCAATTATTTTCGTTTTTTTTTCCTGCATTGAAGGTGTTGGGTGTGTGTCATGACGTCGTCAATGGTTTTGTAGAGAGACGCGGCAGAGATGGCGCGGATAACCCGGGTGCCTCAATTGCGTACCTGCATCGTGGAAGACCCCTTCAATGTGGAACGATTCCTAGTCACTGTCGATGTTTACACTGCTGTGCCAAACACAGATGATCTGGATAGATTCATGTCAATTGCAATGATGGCTTTGGTTGGGTGTTCTTCTTCATGGTATGTCCACGGACTCTGACAGCACTTCAGACAGCAACTGCATGCCCCGATCTTGTGTACCATGCACCATGGTGTTATTATTGCACAGACAGCACTTCAGACAGCAGTAGTCTACGTTGTAGTCGACAAGCACTCATTTTGGTTAAATGCGGGACCAGAGGGGTGATGCTGCTGCTGTTGTAGTCGAATAGGAGGGGCGGAAACAATGGTGGCAACACCACCCACGCGGCCGATAAGAGCACACTTACTTGTACTGTGCGGTCCCCCCCACGCTAAAAGCATAAACTCCGAGTAAAGTCCTCCATTACGAATCGTTCAATGGCAAGTTTTTGTTCAGCTACGTTTTTTTTTCCACAGCAGCAACAAAATATAGTCTAGTATACGAAGTAAAGNATGGTGGCAACACCACCCACGCGGCCGATAAGAGCACACTTACTTGTACTGTGCGGTCCCCCCCACGCTAAAAGCATAAACTCCGAGTAAAGTCCTCCATTACGAATCGTTCAATGGCAAGTTTTTGTTCAGCTACGTTTTTTTTTCCACAGCAGCAACAAAATATAGTCTAGTATACGAAGTAAAGATTTTTTTAACAATGCTGAGCACGCAATTGTTTTCAGCAGAGATCATATTATTATGTAATAATACTACCTTCGACCACTATTATTATTGTTATATATTTTTAAGGAGATAGACGTACGTACGTACGTGTTGTCGTTTTGACTTTTACGAGAGAGGCAGCGTGTGTAGGTAGTATGTCATCGCCTACTCTTATCTCTCTTTTTCTCGGTCTTTGCTTTGCCCCCCAATCGTTGCCGTGCGTGTTTCTACGCAACAATATATATATATCAAATAGAGTAGGCCCATGTCGGCTGTCTATGTTGCTTCCGGCACTACATCATGATCATCAGAAGATGAAGATGGCGCTCGCACTTAAGAACTTGGCAGTTAAGAAATGCGGCCTCGAAAAAAGTCAAAATCAAAGAAATTGTCGACAAATTAATAGTTACAACAACATGTTAAGGAGTGTTGCTGTATGGCACAGATAGGGTACACAGTCGGTCTAGATTAAGATGGGGGACGTCAGGAGGTAT